AATACACCATCAAAAATGAAAAAATCACACACGTTAAATTAACTAAGTATATATTTTAATATATTTCCAACTCAATAATTGTATTGGCTGACTAGCTCTCTAAGTATAAAATAATAATGTTAGGTGAACGGATTAATTGAAAGGTCAAGCGTTATTCATACGTTTATAATTAATCATAGCATAGATAATAAATTATTTCAGTTCATTTATTTTGCCAAACAGTATAATATGGGGTAAATTTCATAAATAATCATGCAAGAGTAAGAAAATAAAAGATAAAACTCATCAATCTAAAGGTAATTAAGTAATTGTTTTTCAGTTTAAAAATTTAAAATTTTCGATTTGTCTCTACATCGATATTTTCTTCGTCTGAAAAACTAGCTATCATCTTGCTTATTCTTCTTCATCGTTTTCGTCTTCTTATACTTAAGTTTGATACTGTTCAACTAATATTCTATCGAAAACAGTTTCTCTATCTCCTCATTTTTTTTCTATGTCGAAATTTGAATCTTTAGATCTTACGATTCTCAATCACTTCATTAATCACGTTACACCTCTTAATGCAGTAGTTACTATTAAGAATAAAGTTATTCTTTAATCTTAAACTTATAAAATAACTAAAATCTCTATTTTTAAACGATACGATAAATAATTCGATATAAGAAATACATTATCTATTAGTGTAGGTTATGGACCTCTGTGATGCTGAAACCATACTGTATAGTCTGGATGCACAGACTTGTTGCAGTAGTTCCTCCATGCCTTAAGGTCCCAAGATTTGTTACGTATTAAAGTTACGAGTTCGATAAAATTTAATAATTTTAAATTATTTTTTTAATATATAAATATACTAATTTTAATATATGCAACAAATTCAAGATTTGGTCAGCAGGATCTAGAATTGTGAACTAGAAGAAAGTGCCAAATTTTTTTCAAATTTTCTATTATATATATATATAATATAAATTAAAAAAATTGGTGGGACTTGAAATATAATCAAAAAATAAAATTGGACCCCTCATGTACATTATTGCACATTCATTTTCTGAATTCTGACGCAAATTCATGTTTTGTTGCTTAAGACATTAAAAATTCGTTATAATTTTAAAAAAATAATATATTACACTATTTATTACTTTATTAAGATAAGCTTTTTTTTTTAATGTTTCAATTATCAATCACATATCTCTCTCTTGCTTTGCTTGTGTACACGAAGACCTAATAATTATACGACAAGAGACTTATTCAGATGGTAATTATTTTTAAATATTTTTTTTTAAAAAATAATGAGAAAAAAATTAATAATTATTCATATGGAGAATGTAAATTAATAGTATTTAGTTTTTATAAATTATATCGAGTTAAGTTTTTATGAATATTCACATATAATTAGTTTTTATACCATGACTCAATTTATCAAAGTTATACTCTTTTTTAATTTAGGCGGAAAATAAATAAGGGGTTTATGTAATTTTATTTATTTATTGCAAACAATTCTCCTTTCTTTCGTCATAAATATTTTTAGAAAAAAATAAAAGAATTATGGCCTACTTCTTTTACGTATTATACATGGACACGTTTTTCTACTAAAGAATAATGTAGAAAAGATATGGTATTTTATTCTTATTTATAAAAAATGGCTGATTTGACTATTGAAAATAGAATATTGTTATAAAAAAAGCTTTAGTTTTAAAAAATATAATTTATGAATACGAATCGAGACGAAGCCAGTTTGTGGTCAGGAGTTCATCCAAGCTTAATTTCTTCAATTGATACTATTAGTATATATAATAAAAATCAAATTTCTTTTGACTAATTTTTATGTTTATTTCTTTTGATTTTTACCTTTGAAAATTTCGACTTTGTTACTAAATACGATTTCTACCTAATACCACATAGGGAAACAAAAAAAATGAAGACGCATAGGGAAAGAAAAAATACTAATTCAAGAAACTCCTAATTAAAACGTCAAACCAAAGAATTTATATTTTTTTATTTGATTTTTTCTGCTAGCTGTACTAAATTATTAAATATTAAATATTTAATTTGAATCCAATGAATTTTGGTCTTGCCTCCTTATTTGACTTTTTTAGTTACATTCTTCCATACTCAAAACTACTAAATTTTGGCACATTTTTAAAAAAATTAAAATTGAGTTAATCAACAAGTCAAAAATGGCTAATTAATTATATAGTTATTTGCAATTAAAGTTTAGTAGTTAATCTTTAATTATTAAAAATAATAAGTTAGATGAGTTTATAAATTTTGGGCAAATTATAAACTATATGAAGGAGTTGGGTAAGGTGTCCTAGTCATCTATTTATTTATTTATTTATTTTGCAAATTTAAATTGATTTTTGATATTATTTTTTATTTATTGATATAATTATTTAAATGTAAAGCTTTGTTATCATACCATTCAAATTGATGAAGCATCAGTTAAATTTTGTGTTTGATTAGACTCAAAATTTAAATTAATATTTCGTATACTAAAGTAACAACATTAATTTTGTGTAAATGAATAACATTTTAAAGTTAAAAAAAATAAAACGTCCTATTAAAATTAATGAAATAAATAGAGTTTTTGACCAAAAACATTCTTTAACTATACTCCAAACTCAAACTATATTTTTTAAAGTATCATTCTTACCATAAAACATCTTCAAGTATTTTAAAGTGATCAATTTTCATCCTTCTACTTGAATATCTCGTAAAACTATCCGATATATCCCACAAAAATTAAGTCGTCCCTTCCTAATTATTATTCTTAGATATGTCAAGAATATTATCTTGAACTTTTTTAATTGAGTTAAGAATTATGCAAAACTTTTAATTTGACCATTTTTTTAGTTCACTTTTCATGTAATTTTAATTAAAAATATTATCAGTTTAAATATGTTTCTTCTCAATTGAATATGCTAGAAGTGACATTTGTTGGAGACTTCCGCTTCTAATAATGTAGAATGAAACTCAAATACGAGACATAATCAATATATTGGTCACTTCAATATTAGATTGACCTAAAAATCTATTGAATTATTTAGTTAAGAAAAAGATAAAAAAATAATTAATCTCCAACTTCATTCGGTTGCAAAAAAGGCAAATTATGTATGCGCACATCTTCCGATCATTTTTAGTTTCCGTAAGCAACAATGTCTAAGATTTTTTATATTTTCCAAGAATTTCTTATAGCAAGTAATGAAATTATGCAGATTAACTTATGTCTAAGATTTTTTATATTTTCCAATAATTTCTCATAGCAAGTAATGAAATTATGCAGATTAACTTTTGTTGATAGTCACGTTAACTGTTCATGTTTTCGTAAGATTCATTCGTTTTTTTGACAATATCTAACAAAAGGATGAAAGTTGTTCATTTATAAATACTTATACTTTAAGGATTTAGTTTAAGTTTAGGGTATAGTCAAAAGATGTTTTCTGCTACAAATAATACTTTAAGAATGTAATTTAAGTTTTGAATATAGTTTTTAAAGGAAATTTAAAATTTAAAATAAATGAATAATTTAATAACTTTAAATTTTTTAATAAAAGGTATAAATATTGTATAACAACAAAATTATACCAAATATTTAGAATTTAGAAAATAAAAAGAGCATCATATACTATTAAACATAACGAATATTATTTTATTATCATCAATAAATACAAAAAGAGTCCAACACCACCAAAATTTATTATTTATAGTTCTTCCATTCCTTATCTGGATAAAAAATAACGTCCCCTACCCATCCACACATTCAAATTAGATGATTGAATTTTAAAATTATTTATGTTTAATAAAACATTTTATTCATAAAAAAGTACTTTTCACACAATAATTCATATTTACAAAAAAATGTATTCTTTTATATTTATAAAAAAAATTTAAAATCTTATGAATTGACGACATTTGCGTTATATGGTCAAATAGTGATCTAATATAATTGATCACATGCATATTATATATAAAAAAATTATAAATTATTTTAAGCATATAGATTTAGTTTCAAATTAAGCAAACTTTATATATATATTTTGATAGAGATTACTTGCCTTTTGGAAGTGTAATAATAACTCCTTTAAATATTATTGGTTATCCTCTATCCCTTCCATTAAAGATGTGTACAACCAACTAATTTATCCATCGATAATGTTAAATGATCACGAAATTTAATAAAATATTTTAAAATAATAGTATAAAATAAGTTATTTTATTATTTTGATCAAATTTTTTAGCTAATTTTTTTTTCTTTTATTTATTTATATAACTTTTTATTTAAGTAATGTGCACTTTTTTAAAAAGAAAAAATTGAGTTATTTGATTATATGCTAAAATCATCTTCCAAAAAGTATGGTATTTACTTGCTAGTTTATAATTTCACATAAATAATATAAATAATAAGAAATTTTATGTATGATAACGAAGGGTAAAATTAAAATAAAGCATAATTTCTTTATTTTAATTTGTTTGTCTGATTTTAACTTAACATAAAATTAGAAATATGTCGAAAATAAACTTTTAAATGTGTGTAAAACTATTCATCTCTACCGAAATATCTAATCTTAGATAAGTCATATGACAAATTAAAATTAAAAAGTCATCAAAAAATAAAAATTATTTGTTTTAAAATGGTCTTGAGTCGTCATTATATTCATACCTTTTTAGCTTAGATTTTCACTTGAACAACATAGCCTTATCGCTCTATACTAGCAGTAGCTAAGCGCTTGAAAAAAATAAAAATATAAGTACGACAAAAAATAAACAAGTAACTTAACGCTACGTGTAATGTTAATATTTGTGTAACTCTAATCCGTTAACGAGCCCAATTTTTTTATTTTTTATTTCTATAAAAGGAGTGGATAAAAATAAACAAGGGAAGTGGTGGTAGGATTCATTTTATAAGCACACGCGCCTTCTCCCGCGCGTGGAAAAACATTTCTGAAAAATTACTGTTGTGTCCTACATAAGCATAAAGCAAACACCATTTCATTGGATTTGTTGGATTTGTTGGATTTTCTCTGTAAAAAGAATAAAATTTCTGCAGAATCTTCCAAATTTTCCTTCTGCTTTCCCAAAAGCCACAAATTTGTAGGAATTTATCCTTTGATGCCTTTGGGATTTGCTCATTTCAATCACCTAAGCACCCTTTTCCCTTTTAAATAATCCAAGATTTTCATATTTTTATCATCTACATATTCATAGATATAGTATTTATTAAAAAAGATTCAATTTTTCCAACACCCATTTGGGAATTGTTGTTGGTTTCATCATCATGGGGTTTGTTGGTGATGGTAGTTGTAGTAGTAGTGGTGGTGATAAAGGAGGGTGCTTTATTGGGGGTATGAAAAGTCTTGTAAGAAGGAAGCAGGTTGATTCTGCAAATTCAAAATCATCTTCTACATCTGGTTCTTCTCATCAATTAGCTAAAGCCTTAACTATACCTCATCTTATTACTATAGGTAAAGATTATGATTTGATTCTTTAGTTTTTGTGAATTGGAGTTCAAAAAAATTTGATATTTTTGTTTGTTTATGTTTTAGATCAGCTTGTTATGTATTTTTGGTCCTGTGGGGTTCATGTTTATGGTTACTTTGAGTATCTTTTTTATTCAATTCTGGTTTTTAATGAGGTTATTAAATCCATTTTATGCATATGGCAGTTTAATATTTATGATCTGTATTCTTATGTTGTGGCATGGTAACTTGGTGTTCTCATAGTAGAAATTGAGTTATTTGATACTTGTTAGGTCTAGCCTTGGTGGATAGAGTTATTTGATACTTGTTAGGTCTAGCCTTGGTGGATAGAGTTACTTGATACTTCTTGTTGGTGGAAGGTGGCAGGTCTGTCGAATTAGTGAGGTATGGCCAAGCTGGCAAAAACCAAAAAAACAATTAAAAGTTAGTTATTGCAATAATAGACAACTTTCCCCTGCTAACACTCAAGGGTGATTCTTTTCTTTAACTTTTACCGTGTTGAGTGCTTGGGAGCATAAGTTGAGCAATTTTTTGTTTCAGATTGGATTATCTAGCTAACTCTAGATATGTGATTCACAAAGCATAGCTGGTTTCAAGTTTGGATAAGGTAGGAGGATGCTAGTAGGTTGATAGCCAGTGTAAAATTAGTCTTAACTATGATAAATCCAATGCATACTAAATTTATTGGGACGTTCTCAATTAGATATGCGCTGTCACAAATCGAGTAGAATGGATACATCACATTCATATAGCTGGCTCCAACTAGTTTGAGATTGAAGAATTGCAATTGATTGATCGATTTATATTGAATTTTGCTTGATGAAGCATGTTTATCTATAAGTTCTAGCCAGCTTAATATTATTTTATGCCTCGTGGTTTGATTTTCCAGGGGTTGGTTCAACAATAGGCGCTGGGGTGTATATTCTAGTCGGCACAGTTGCTAGAGAGCACTCAGGCCCGGCACTCACCATTTCATTTTTAATAGCTGGAATAGCAGCTGCTCTTTCTGCCTTTTGCTATGCGGAGCTTGCAAGTCGTTGTCCATCAGCTGGGAGTGCCTATCATTATTCTTACATTTGCGTTGGAGAGGGGTATTCCACAGAAGTTCTTACTGCACGGATTTTGATCTCATGATGAAAATCTTTTGTTAACCTATTAAAATAACTAGAACTTTGATTTTATAAAAAATGCATTTTCTCTATGGGCCATGACTTGTGATTTCTGTTTTCCTAATTTTCTTGTAACAATTGTCAAGTTTTGATTTTTATATTCTGACTTTTTTGAGGTCTAGATATGTTTTTTAAAAAATAAAATTTACCCTCCCTCTCAGTGTTGCATGGCTGATCGGTTGGGCATTAGTATTGGAGTACACAATTGGAGGTTCGGCAGTTGCTCGTGGCATATCCCCAAATCTGGTGCAACAATTTCTCTTTGACTTCTGAATTATTTGATTTCGTTCCTTATAAGTATTAAGCAATGTGCCTAGCTGTCTTTTTCTGTGAGATTGCCTTATAGTTATAAGATAATATGTGCATCCTTTGGACAAAGTAGATTCACTGGCCTAGCTGTTCTAGTGCTTCATGCGGAAATCTTCTTTGATTTAATCAACTTGTTTCTTTACTTCAGGTCTGCTGAATTATGTGAAAATAATTAATTAGATATTGAAAAATTAGTTTAAAAGCAACCAGTGTCAATTGGATTATGAGCCTGTTTGGATTGACTTATTTTAAGTGTTTTTAAGTCAAAATAACTTCAAAGCACTTTTGTGTTCGGATATGATAAAAAAGCGCTTTAAGCCAAAATAATAAAAATAAGCCAAAAGCCAATCCAAGCGGGCTCTACTAGAAGAAATCTGCATGTGCCAATATTGTATTGAAGATTGTGAATAAAGTAGAGAAGGCTTCACTCCACATCCACTTCAAGAGGTTACTCTAAATGTCATACACACATCCTCTCCAATACTGATAATTGATTAATTATGGATTATCCGCAAGTGTTTGAGTTTTTCGCTTATAACCTCCCTGAACATTGAAATTTTTTTAGGTATGCTGGAATGTTTGAGTTTATAGCCGTGTTAGTGATTCTGGTAATAATGTATGCAGGAAAACAACAGAGCTCTTGGTTCTAGTTGTGAGGAACTCACTTATTGTTATAGTTTACTCGCAAACTGTTAGTAGATTGTGGGTATATTATTTTAAATGACTTCAAATAGTATTACCAGTTATGTGAACAATTTGTACTGGGAGAGGGAGACCTGCTTTCTCTATATTGCTTTTATGTGAAAATTGATGTTGTATAAGGGACAACTAATATGAGTTTATCTTCATGTCTCTTTTGATTCTAGATCACTTCTGGCCTGTTTATCCCTCCGTCAAAACCAATGAAAGAAAGAGGCTTAGTTCCCATCTTTAAATGTCAATACACTTTGAATGTTCCATATTTTTCTTTAAAAGGGTAACTGTATATTCACACCAAAAATTCATCATCCTAAAAATGATGGATTTAAAACTTACATCCCACATCTGATGGGTATTCTTTACAAGTTCCCTATAAAATCTACTAAATCTACTATCTCCCCTATTAGATTTTGTTTACACAAAAGAAAAAACAAAAGCCTTATACAGTTCATTCTAATCTTTCTGTTCCTTTGTGACTCTAATTTTGTCATCCTTCTCTGTTTGCAGGCTATGCTTTTTGGAAGTCCAGACAGCCTGCCATCTTTCTTAGCTCGTCACACAATCCCAGGACTGAATATCACAGTGGACCCATGTGCTGCAATTTTGGTTTTTCTAGTCACTGGACTTCTGTGTGTGGGGATCAAGGAGGTATTTTTCATATCCAAATAATCATCTCTTTCTTTGTAGTTTGTAGTTTGTGCTTCATTAAATGTCAGCTCAATTACATTTTTGCAGAGTACCGTGGTACAAGGATTTGTCACTTCAGTAAATGTATGTGTCATGGCCTTTGTAATTATTGCTGGTGGATATCTGGGCTACAAAGCAGGATGGCCAGGCTATGAGCTTCCTGTTGGGTAATTGGCTGTCCTGCACACGCATTCTTATGCGCTCTCCTCCTATCGATCTTCTTTCTCAATCTTTCTTTAATTGATAGGTATTTTCCTTATGGAGTCGATGGAATGCTTGCTGGAGCTTCAACTGTCTTCTTTGCCTACATTGGGTTTGATTCAGTTGCTAGTACAGCTGAGGAGGTATTGCCCAAGTCTGTATATACTTTACTCCCGCTGTTTTTATTTGTTTGGTTGGTTTTGACTTGATACATTGTTCTTGAGTAAAGAAGACATTTAACTCTGGTGGTCTTAAACTAAAGATATTTAGGATGCATGTTCCAAAATGCCCTTTAATCTTCTAGTCTTAAACATACCACGTGAAAAGTTAAAACTAAAAGAGTTGCCAAAAAGGGAAAGAGACATTCTTTTTAAAATGGACTAAAGAGGAAAGTAAGACAAACAAATTGAAACGGAGGGATTATCCCTGTTGAAGATTCTTGGACTTTTAAATTTACCATCTGATTTATTTCTACTTTTTGATCTCTAAAAAGGTGAAGAATCCTCAACGTGACCTGCCAATGGGAATTGGTTTTGCATTATCAATATGCTGCTCTCTCTACATGTTAGTCTCTGCAGTTATTGTTGGTTTGGTACCCTATTATGCTATGGATCCAGATACACCAATCTCTTCTGCATTTGCAAGCCATGGAATTAATTGGGCAGCGTAAGTTAATCTTTTTGGCCTATTGATATTGCAGTTAGTCTTATTATTGACGCTAAACTATTTGATGTGAAACTGCCTTTTTACTGTCTTATTCTTTATTCTATATTCTAATGTACTTCCTCTGGATCTCAATACAGATATATAATAACTATTGGAGCTTGTACTTCTCTTTGCTCAACATTGATGGGTTCTATAATGCCTCAGGTACGCAAGCTGCATCATGTAGATTTTGGAGTCTACGTAGCTTGAAATTGTTTAAGACACAAAGTCTGATTAGATTCTTAGTGCTATAAACTTCATTGGGGTGTTTAAAACTATTTGACTTGCTACATCTATTGAGATGTATAACTTTCTGTACCAAATACTTGGTAATCTTTCCCAGAATTCCCAGAAATACTTTGTAATCCTTCTCCAACAAATTAAACCTTTCCTCTTGGTTGTACTGTAATACTCAACCATGTTACATGGGAAACTTGATTGCATGTTACTTATAACCACTTTGAGCCTTATATTTTACATCCTATATTATTGGACATACTTGTGTTCTCACTCTCTGAGAGAGGGATAGGTAGAGTTGATTCTTTTTCATACTTGTACTTCTGGCATTAACATTGATTTTTTGTGATTTTAGCCACGGATACTTATGGCAATGGCTCGGGATGGATTGCTGCCTTCATTTTTCTCAGATGTTAACAAGCGGACTCAAGTTCCTATTAAGGGCACTATAGCAACTGGTTTACTTTCTGGAACCTTAGCATTTTTCATGAATGTTGAACAGTTGTCAGGAATGGTACGTTCACTTTCTGGACGTATTATATTATATATTTAAAGCCAGAGTTAAGTCCTCCATAATCATCTGAGTGATATTAACTTGTTCCTTTTCTTCCTATTTGGACTGAATCTTCTGCAAATTGAAATGTCTTGAGTACTTCAACACATAGTGGCTTGTGTCAAAATATGACTTGTAGCATGTTTGATATGGTGTTGGAACACATCAAAAATATCAATTTATGTATTTTTTGTTCCCTTTGTTGTGTGCTGTTCTCCTTGTTTTGGAGTGAGGGGACAAAGACAATAAGAGAGTGATATCTAGGATGAACATTTGTTTTTGGCTCAAAACAATCTCCCTTTTCGTATCCTTTAGCTGTTTCATTCTTTTTTCATCTTGAGGCTTGTAACTCCTCCTTTGTTAGAAAGAATTAAGCAAACAACATGATTATTACGTGAAAATCCTTGTAAGCTTAAGTGATGATTTTCATTGTTAACTAATAGATTATGACATGATAATTTGTCATATTTTTCAATCGTGTTGAGCAAACTTTGGAAGTGTGGTTTTGAGTGATTCACAAGACACAACTCTAATTATTTGGTAATAAAATACCAGTTCCAAAAAATTAGTCAGGAATAAGATGTTATATCTTTTTGACGTTTGTATGGTTATAGCTTACTTATGAAGGGAAAATGTCTATGCCCTCTGGCTCTCTGCTTGTGATTTGTGTTTAATGTGATGTAATTAGCATGTTTTGATTCATGTAACATTGTAAATTTCAGAAGTCTTAGTTTCCTACTCACGGTTTGTGCTTGTTTTGATTATGTTTCTGTCTTTACAGGTCAGTGTTGGTACACTTCTTGCGTTTACAATGGTGGCTATTTCGGTATTGATTCTCCGATACGTACCACCAGACGAGGTCCCAGTTCCCTCCTCTTATCAGGAGGCAATTGACTCAGTACGCCTGCGACGTAGTAGCTGTAGTAGTAGTTCAGATATGGATGTCGAGAAAACCAAAATTCCAGCTGTGACCTCTGGTGATAGCACTCCATTGTTAGGCGAGATTTCAGTTGGGCATCCTCTTGCGGAAAAAGCAGCAGCAAAGTTGAGCTGTAAGTATTAAATTCTTGGTAGTAGGCAGCGGTTAATTATTCCGATGTGACTACTAGTTTGTGCTAAAATGATCATGCTATGCTTTATAAAATTCAGAAATTGCGACCAAAATAAATCTAATAGGTCGTGTTAGGTATGGTGAAATGAAGTATAGGAAATCAAGTGGTGAAAAGCATCTGAATAAGGAAAAAGCAATAAGAATTGACTTGGGTTTATTGATTATAGTCTTTGTCTCTTTCTCCTACCATATATAGAAATTATATATCCTTACCTGAGTTACCTCATGATCCAACTGAGTAATTCAACAATAAAAAATGAAAAAAACTGATGCTCGCTAGGCGCACCTTCCCTTCGTCTCCGGTCTCTGTTATCTACATTGCATTTCGGAGTCAAAGATGTGTTCACTATATTCCTACATTTACAAGGAATAATCTAAGTAGAAAATTCGTACTATCATTTACTTCTCTTGATTTTGTCACAGATCTAGTAAGCCAAAGGCGGAAAGTTGCTGGCTGCACAATTTTGTTCATCTGTATTGGAGTATGCATCGTTACATCCGCTGCTTCAATTGTTAACTTGTCTAAGTGAGCTCTCTTTCTCTGTGATTTTATCTGTTCATTTCTTTAAATTTGGAGGGATACAGAGGAGATTTAAGAAGTGAGCAAATGTGTAATAAGGGTTAAATACCAGGAGAGTTTGTACGCCAACTTGGATATAGATATTCATGAATGTATTTCTGGACATGCACATAGATTCTGATTACTATCAATAAATATGATCTAAATATTGGGATATTCTTGATGTCTTTGTCACAAATGCTGAGGTAGTTAATATGTCTTAAGCCTTACATTTTCTTGTACAAAATTTTTGACTCTTCTACCTTATTGCTGTGATCAGTCCTGCAAGGTACGCACTGTCCGGAATTGGTGGTTTGCTTCTGATATCTGGTTTGATAATACTCACTTGCATAGACCAGGATGATGCGAGGCACAGCTTTGGACACACCGGAGGTATGTTATATATATCATTATCACCTGATTAAAGGCTTTCACTCCATTAGCTTTGAGCTTAGGTCAAATGACCTTTGGTGTTTTGTGGTAGTGGTCTACTCGTGATCATCGCCATATCAATTATCTAATTAGATTGCTTGTGCTTGACCGAAAGTAGTGGCTGTTAATACATCTACCAGGACAAATTTAAAGCATATTTTTTTTTCTCCTATTCAGGTTTCACTTGTCCATTTGTACCACTTCTGCCGATTGCCTGCATTCTCATCAACGTCTACTTATTAATTAATCTCGGGTAAGCCTTGATGACTTTTTTGCTATTATTTTCAGCACGGCCGAACTATATTTCAGATTTTGGTTTATACTGTTAAGTATGAATTTAGACCTAACTGAATCTCGAAAGCTAACCCTATGAGGTGAGGATCGTCCAACACTCATATAAATAACCATTCGCGTAACCAACATGACACACTATAATAAAATATCCAGAACACGAACAACATAATACAGGCGCCTAACGTTGGATAATCAAGAATATTTATTAGTTTTACACTGATACCATGTTGAGAAAATGTCTAACTCAACCTTATTAGAAGCTAATTCATGAGGTTAGGATTGTTCAAAACTATATGAGGCGACAAGAACCTATTCCCTCGACTAATGTATACTGCTTCCTCCTGCACTTTCCTATATTTGCTAAAGATGGACCAATCGTCATTACCAGGAATCACAGCTCGTAATTTACCACTATTTCTTTTATCATTATAGTCGAACCACTACTACTCAGCATTGTTAAACCGCTGTTTGCATTTCTTGCAGTGGTGAAACTTGGGCCCGAGTATCCATATGGCTAGTAATAGGAACGTGCATATATGCTTTGTACGGTCGAACCCACAGTTCACTAAAGACTGCAGTTTACGTTCCTTCAACTCACGTGGATGAAATCTACGAAACATCAGCCATCTCCCTTGCATGTTAACACATTCATCTGTCAAATCAAGTGAAAGAACCTTGTTTTCAGTTACTCACGGTTTACTGAAGAAGCAGCTGTATATTTCGTCGTTCTGCTGATAAAAAACTGCTACATGTTTCAGAATATTGAAACACATATCTCTTTTCCTTTAGTTCACGTCATTTAATTTTATTTGTTTCCCCATTGTAGTTCTACTACTGAAAGAGGAAAAAAAGATGTTATTGCAAAACACATTTAGTATTGTTTGTAATCAGCAGAGGGTAGTTGATTTTTTGAGCTTCTTTGTATGTGTACATATATTTGTGATAGGAATTTGTGGTTCTGGCAATGGTGTACTTGTTGTATGTGTAAATATATGAATTATGAAGCTAAAGATTTCTTTTGAGTTCCTCAAATAGTACTGAGACTTCTTTTCTTGTCTTTTAATACTTCGGTTTCATTATTACTCTTCGTTTCCTTTGCTTCAGTTATCATATTATTCGTTGGCGTCCTTCATCGTAAAAGACTACGATATTCTAGACTTGTATCGAACAAGAGAAAGAAACATTATTTTTTTTTACCAGTATTTTAATTATACTTCCTATGGTAGTCCATAAATTATGGTCAACATAATAATACGAGCCACTAGATATATCGACCAAGGTTTTATGATTACCCTATCTCACACAAATCGTTTGGTTACGATAGGTTGTTGTCATGTAATCAAAAGGTTACAAGTTTAAGATATGGAAATAGTTACGTGCATATATCTGATCTAAGGTTGCGTATAGACGACCATATGTGATCTGACTCTTAGAAATGACTTTAAAAATGGTGAGATTGTATATATTGCTTCCTGTACTCCCTACGTGGAATTCCATAAATGTTTCGCGAATGATTCATCCAGAAGTCATATTATCAAAATATTCATGGGCTAACACACGAAAAAACTGAGGAAATCGTCTAATGTAAATTGACACCCAAACGCGAAGAAATCACTCTAAAATGGAGAGACTATATAATTGTTCTCCTAACTCCCTACAGAAGGATCCATAAAGATTTATTCGAAAAGTCATATTACCAAAATATTCACGGCTAGCCCAATATATGTGGAAACTATACTCATTTTAGCTTTCACCAATGTCATTACAAAAGAACAAAATGTATCTTCATTACAAATCAAAATCAAGAAGTTGAATTCCTATCTCTAACATATTGATCCCCATAGCTTCTCTAAATCATTACACAACTCTTTTTCTCTACCTATGATTATAGAAGTATGATCTGCATTATCAACAATTTTCACCTCTGCATTTGGCACTTTCATCTTTATATTTTTGCTACATTCCACTGGAACTACTTGGTCCCTACTACCTTGAATAACATTGATTTTCACCTTAGCTATTTTTAAAGTTTCCAAGTATTTATCCATAAACTTTGCTCCTCCACATATTACATTATGCATTGTGTGCCAGGCTGATTGATGAGTGTGCCTAGTCAAGTCAATTGCCATAAAATGTAGGTTCCTAAAATCAAAGAAAAAGAAGTGTATCGTAAGTATAGTCACGTAAACAACTCATTGTGTCCCCCCGAAAAATGCATGTAGGCTATCACATCTTCACATGTATAAGTATAGTCACGTCAACAACTCACTTTACATAATATCGAAGTGAAACCACTTACAAACACAAACAAGAACTTATTTCTTTTTCAAACTTAATACCGATGTGGTTTATAAAAAGGAGTTGTAGACAGTGTTATCTGCCTTACCTATTCCAAGTGAGTAACTTGAGGATTCCTTCCCAAATTCTGTGGTTTTTGCAGATGATGTAACATACACATCTACCCAAGTGTTCATACCAAGACATAAATGATGAACCAAATAACAAAGGTGGCCACAATCTTCTTGCTGCAAGTTTGTTAAGTGCTGTTAAACTAATATCCTCCTTTGTTGAAGTGACGTAAGGCTGAAAAAGTTCAAGCACAGAAAGAAACAAAGACCATTAGCAAGAACGAACAATAACAACATACTCAGTGTAATCTCATATGCGGGGATCATGAGAGGATAAAAACTGTACACAGACCTTTACTCCCTACCTTGTGGAGGTAGAAAAGCTTCTAAAATTTGCTTATTTTGAAAACCGAGTTTGATTTTGTCGAACTTTGGTTATCAGAAAAGTACCTTGTTTGTGTTTGGCTATTAGAAACACTCTTTCCCAAATACAAGAGCAGCATTTTGTGTTTGATTGAGGTTACCAAAAGCTTTTTGGCAGAACAACTTTTTCAGCTTCTGATTTTGTACTTTACTATTATAACAACAACATACTCGGTGTAATCCTATTAAGTCAGGTTTGGGAAGGGTAGAATGTAAACAAACCTTTTCCCTATCTTGAGGGTAGAGAGGTTGTTTCTGATAAACCTAGGCTCGAGAAAAAACAGTTCAAAGCAGATCAACGAAGAAGTCACGACAAAAAACTATACTTACTGGTGCTATCAAGGTGATTGATCTGACAGAATGAGAATGTTTTGCAGCTAAAGCTAATGCCACCACACATCCCATTGAATGCGCAACAATATGAAATGAATTCAACTCAAATGGTTGAATCACTGAACTCTCAATCATTTCAACATGATCTTTAACTGTGTATAAGCAATTGTTTGGTTTTGGACTTTTTCCAAATCCCAATAGGTCAACTGCTAACAATCTGCATTTCTGCATTGCATCTTCAGATACATAGGGAAAAATTGTCTCTGTCCAGAATGTAGATGAGGAGAGAAAACCATGTAAAAATACTATATTTTCTGCTTTCTTGCCTTTGAAATCCTCTAAGTTAACTGCAAAATTTGTAAGTCTATACATTAGTGCTTATCTTATTTCTATTTTTGCCTGAATAATAGGTATAGTGATTCTGACCAAATATTTTGATACTTCAATACACTATTTCTGAGAAAGAATGTTATATATATATATACATATACACTATATAATATGTATTTCCTTCCATTGAAATATTTCCTTTTCTATACCATGTGTTATTAAGCTTTGGATTATAACATTAAAAAAGAGTTAATAATGAAAAACACAGCTTGAACTATTGTTTTTTCGTGAGTTTCAAACTCTAACTATCCGTCATTCCTTTTTTTTACCTTTCATATCACCGACTCAGTGTTAAAAACTTAAAATACACCTCCACTTTCAATTGTTTCATTTTTCTACCTAAAACTATCACTATCGTTAAAGCAAGAAAAGGAAAAGTGAATAATTGATAGTTTTAATTGTTCTTTTTAAGAGTAAATTTTAGGAATAGCAAACATAAAAACCATATTAGTACTCAATAGCTCCAGTTTTCCTATGCATCTAATTTGTATAAATCACGGCGATTTGTATAAATCGAACGCCTATGTCTATGAAATTGTGTTTATATATGTATATGTTCTTTGTGTTAGACTATAGTAGAGAGCGAAATTAGGAGAGAGAGGATAGAGGCAACCAAGAGAAGGCAGAGGGTGGTAAGAGATGAATTGTATATGTATATGAATTAGATAATTATAGATATGCAACTACTATGTATATGTATCAATGATTGTGTTTGTATATTTGCATAAAATTTGAATTTGAATACAATTGAAACAAGTTAAAATATTTGTATTTGTATATCAAATATCTCTTTGTATTAATATAAGTGTAAAAGATAGAGAGATACATATTTGTATTTGAATATATATAGTCTCTTGCTTTATACAAACATAAACACAATTTATACAGTTGTATTTGCATAAAAGTGAGAGAGGCGAGAAAGGATTGAGGTGGCGAGCAAAATTTAGGGAGAGAGGCGAGAATGACAATGTATTTGATACGAGTTAGAATTAAATGAAATGATAGATTTAATATTTATTTTGAATTAATACTTTGCTAAAAATGAACAATCAATAATTTAAATGTGTTTTAATACATAAATAATGATAGTTCACGTAGTAAAAGGACATAAAAGTAATAGTTCAGATATAAAACTCGGGAATACGAAATGTACCTGGCTGAATTTCTTTGACAACAACATGAAGCTTCAATTCCCCTGCAATATTACCCATCCATGAAATACAATTCTCACAAGAACAATCAGACCACCTTACATTTTCATTCAATTTTCTCCGACTACTAAAATTCCGGCGAAACCCAATTCCCCGGAATAAATTTCTCCGTTTATGAAGAGTATTCGATAATTCATTATCACAATCACTTTCTTCTTCGTTTTCTATGGAACAGTAACAACCCGAACTTTCACCTTCGAAGAATTCATCAATCAATTTGAAGAAAACACAGAAAATTGCATCGAGCAAATCGAGAAATAAGAAAACTACTGCACTCGCTGATGAAATGAGAATCTCCGATGTAATTTGTAGCCATTTTTCTGAGAAATTTACAGAGATTTTCTGCATTTTTTTGGGGATTTAGGGCTTCGTTTTTTCAATTTGCTCAATTTCGTTTGCATGATGAGTTTTGGAATTTTACAGCAAAAAGGATGAGGTTCTATATCTTTCCATTTTTTTCGAGCATATTCAGGATTTCAAAAGGATGGATATCGTATAAATTATTTTTTTTATTTTTTTTGGAGTGTATTCAGGATTTCGGAAGGACGATAATGTATAAATTATCTTTTTCATTTTTTTTCGAATTCAGGATTTCGGAAGGATGAATGATGTATATATTTCAATCACTTTTTATGTTCTTAACAATGAATTGTTAAATTTTAAAAATTATAAGTTCTATATATAAAGTTATTAATTTTAAATTTTAATATACATATTTAATTTTAAAATATAAAACTTTTATAGTACTTTTTTTAGGAATTTTTTAATGCTAACACATTTGAAATTTTGAAAGATTAAAGCAAAAGATAAAAGAAAAATTGATTGAAATGTCAAAAATATTATCAATACCACTTGGAGGAATGTTATTGAAAAAGAAAAATAGATAATTATAGAATTTAAATTTCTATTTTTGCTTAGAGAAGTGCATCGAACTATCATCTTATTATTATATGCTATTTTAAATGTGAGTTCACACCTATATATTAAATATTTTTCAGAATAATATGTAATAATATTATTATATATGATCTAGACAAGGAAGCATGTGTTTACGTGAACTTATGAAACACCCTCTAAATACACATTTGATCTTTATGTGTTGTTTGATTTGAAAATTGTGAGTTAAATGCTGCATAATTTTAGTTGGATGAGAAATTCTGACCATGAATTGTATTGTATCGTATTATATTGTTTAATGAATATAATGTTTAGATAAATTGTATTATTTTTTATCGTTATATTATGTCACACATTCATAATAAGGAATAAACCTACAAGAAAAGTAGCTTAAAGGACAGAACTATTATAAAAAATAAAATATAAAAGC